TTTAATCAGAAATTAATTAGGAATTAATTTCGGGATTAAAGGAATTAATTAAAAGTACAGGGGCTGTTTTGTAATTATTTGATAGTTGAGACTTTGGGCTATTGGATCACTTTTATTAAGGCTTGAACGAAAATCCTAGAAGGATCTAGGAGTTTTCGTCCAAGGGCTTAAGGAAAGGAGTCCATGGACTTGCTTAGGCCCTAAGCTAAGGGATTAGGGTTTCCACCTTGAAACCCTAGCTAGCCTCAAGTATAAATAGCACCCTAAGGCACTAGAATTCGTCCAAGCCTTGGGAAACCCTAAAAGGGACGAATTTTAGGGCAAGATATCCTTCTCTCCTCTCTCCCATATTCATCCTTTCACCTAGTGTGTTTGTGAGCCATTAGAGGTACTACACTTGTGGTACTTGCTTTCAAGAGCTAAGGAAATTCAAGGAACTAGTTGTTATTACTACATAACAACAAAAGGTATGTATTCTATTCTCCTATGTCAATTTCGAAAATAGTAGATGCATGCTAGGGTTCTTTTGTGTTCATAAAGTTGTATAACTAATAGTGAAAACATAGATCCAACTCTAGGGTTGCATGCACACATAGGATTGTTTGTATAAAACCCATCAATACATGTGGTCATCCAGGCCATGTGAGCAGGGACTGCCCCAAGAAGGGCTTGTTTTGTTTCCATTACAACCAAGTCGACCATAAAAATGATGATTGCCCGAGGTTACAGGGAGGGGGAGGAGCGGTGACGGCGCCTGCGCCCGCCACAATGAGGATCACTGATGGCCGCCCTGCCAAGGCGGATGCTCCTGCGGTGAAGAGTCGCGCATTTTAGTTGACCACATAGGAGGCTCGAGCAGCTCCAGACGTCGTGGCTGGTACATAATTTATTTTTCCTGTTGATATTATTTGTTATGCTTATATGTGCCTTGTATAGGGACCTTTTTGGTCAAAGGTATGTCGGCTCATGTTCTTTTTGATTCGGGAGCTACCAGATCGTTCGTATCTCTTGCGCTTAGCAAAAAGTTCCGGGATACTCCGGGGACTTTGGATTCCCCGCTTGAGGTGGAGATTGCGGATGACCGCACTGTGAGTGCTGCGAGGGTATATCAGGATTGTGTCCTGAATGTGTTTGGGGAGAGGTTTCGTGTTAATTTGGTTCCGATACCGTTCCGAGGGCTGAAGGTGATCATCGGAATGGACTGGTTGGGGGCCAATGGGGCCATGATAGACTGCGAGCACCAGCTGGTGAGAGTTCGAACCCCAAGTGGGGTAGAACTGGTTATTCGGGGAGAGAGGGCCTCGTAGGGCCAACCCTCTGTTCAGCTGCGAGGGCTAGGAGACTTCTCCATTAGGTTTGTTCGGGATTTCTGGCATACATCTCGGATACGAGGGTTGAGACTAGGGGTGAGCGTGGTGCGGTTCGGTGCAGTTATTTTTGCGGTGTGGTTAGGCGGTTATTTTTGCGGTGCGGTTTTGTTTTGTTTTGTTTTTTTTTTTGTTTTTTTTTTTTTTTTGTGTTTCGGTTATTAACCGCATAGATTTGGTGCGGTTATTTTGTGTGGTTTTTAACCACAGTTTAGAGTTCAAACATATTACTTGTAATAATAAAAAAAACCATAAAGCATAACACAATTAACTTAAATCACAAACAACTAATATCTTAAAAACGTCAAATCACTAGTAATTACCAATAAATATCTTAAAATTGTCAAATTTCACCTTCTTTTTAAGATAAACATAACAAAAAACTAATACTTTTGTCTTTTAGAAATTTTATCCTTATTTAAACTTGTCTTATTTTCAATATTTTATATATTAATAATTAATAAAAAAAATTGTATATAATATATGCGGCGCGGTGCGGTTTTATTGCGTTTTTTGAAAACTAATAACCGCACCGCACCACAATTTGCGGTTTTTGAAAAACAGAAAACCACACCATCAGTTTTTATTGTGGTTGCGGTTTATGTGGTTTTTACGGTTAATTTTAGTTGCGGTGCGATTTTTGCTCACTCCTAATTGAGACCACGACAGATTTGGACAGTGTACCGGTTGTACGACATTTTCGGGATATCTTTCCCGAGGAGCTGGCTGGGGTACCTCCGGTGAGGCAGGTACAGTTTTGCATTGATTTGGTGCTGGGTGCAGCTCCGATAACCAAGGCACCGTACCGGCTAGCTCCGGTGAGGCAGGTACAGTTTTGCATTGATATGGTAAGCATAACTCAATTACAAGGGGGGGTTTAGCGAGAGACCGAGCTCTATACGGGCAGAACTTCTGAGCCGAAAGCTCTTCATCTTGGGACCTTCTGGTGCTCCGGGACTCGCTACTAACACCAAGGAGGTTCTAGGGAAAGACTTATATGGTTTGGGGGTGTTTGGGAGAGAAATGGGTGAAGAGATGTAAGAAAAATAGTGAAAAACACATTCTATTTATAGGCTGCCAGCACCGAGTACGCTGAGCGTAATGGGTTTTTAAGGGTTACGCTGAGCGTACTCAAAATTACGCTAGGCGTAATATGCCCACGTGTCACGATCTCGTGCAAAGCCGTGGGGAAGAAGGTGCGGCTCAAATTGCGCCCTGTGTTACTCGCTGGTTACTCAAAAAACTAATTATATTCTAAAATCCGCAACTTTCGCATACGAGCTTCGTTTTTGAAGTTCTTTATATCCACACGTAAGTATCGACGAAATCTACAACTTTCTTTTAGACTATGTTGGCTAATTTTGACTTTATTTTTAAAGTTATATTTTAACAGACTTGGACAGTTAAAGTCGGTTAAAAATTCATAACTTTGTCATCTGACGTCCGTTTTCGACTGTATTTATATCGTTTAGCTCTTATTAATGAGATCTTCAATTCTCATTTAGGTTGTGTCGGATAAAAATCGATCGATCTAAAATTCGATTTTCGGGCTGTGCACTGCTACGCTAAATCTTAGAAAAATCATAACTTCCTCAAACGAAGTCAGATTTGGACGTTATCTATATGCACGCTCTCGGTTTAACGTATACTACAACTTTAATTTAGATTTCTAATGATAAAAAGTAGCTTATCAAAAATTCACTTTTTACGATACACGACGTTGTGCCGGTTTAGTCGTAAAACTTCGACGAGTCATAACTTCTTCGTTGTAAGTCGGATTTTAGCGTTCCTTATATCCCCGGAATCCTTGTTACGACTATTCAACTTTTTTGAAAGATATTGGGTCTACTTATTATTTTATTTTTGACGCATATTTTCATTATTATTTTATTATATCGTTATAAGCACATATGTTGCACATAAATCACATAATACTTAAGTAATTCTTATTCATTATTTCAAAATACGTTACAATTGTTGAACCTAACTATTACATCATTATAATAATGTTTAGCTAGAAACTCGGGCGTTACATATGTTGCGGTTGAGACTACGACTTCGTGTTGTAAGTCAACAAACCGGGGCAATCCAACCGGAATGTTATGGGTCGGGGCATTCCAACCGAAAGGTTGTGGGCAAGGGGTAATCCAACCGGGAGGTTGTGGACACGATATTTGTTTGATTATATGTTTGTGTGGTGGTACTTTGGGGGAACTCACTAAGCGTTGGCTTACAATTTTAGATTATTGTTTCAGGTATTTCTGAGGATCGTGGGAAAGCGAATGCCTGATCGTGCACATCTTCCTATTTTGATGATATTGATTTTTGGGACACTCTGATACGACTTTACTTTTGAGATAATGACTCTTTTTGTAAACAATGATGGTTAATGATTATTTTTGAAAATTTTAAATTTTTATGAATTTTGGGATGTTACGGTAATATATTTCTCATTTTGTACACATTTAGTACTTAATATTTTTGTACATATTTAGTCCTTAATATATATATATATATATATATATATATATATATATATATATATATATATTCAAAAAAAATCATTTTTGTTTTTGTACTCATTCAATACTTATGAATGATTTCTTTAGTTTTTTTTTTCACGACATCTTACGCGGGACAATCATTGATGAGGTGTTTGAGGCTGTTGATGCTTATGTCCATCGCAATCTCGACGCGTGGTTTCGTAGGTCTTATGGTTTGGCTTAGGTCTTGTATTTTGAACGTCGTAACTTCTTCATACGATATTAGATTTTAATGATCTTTATATCCACTTGTTCGTTTTTTTGAGTCTATTGCAATTTTTGTTAAGATTACTCTCGTTAAAATGTAATATATTTTTACTTACGATTTTATAAAAAAAACATCCATACATGCATTCATATAAAACATATGGATATAAAGATCGTAAGTAAAAATATATTACTTTTAAACTGGAGTAATCTAAATGAATTGTAATAGACTAAAATATAAACGCTTGGATATAAAGATCGTTAAAATCCGAGATCGTATGAAGAAGTTATGATGTTCAGAACACATGACCTAAACAACCAAGTAGTCGAGATCGTGATGGACATAGCAAAAGTCCCAAACATCTCATTAATGAATGTCCCATGTAAGATGCAAAGAAATCATTCATAAGTACTGAATGAATATAAAAACAAAAATGACTTATTTTGCAACAAAAAAAATATTAAGGATTAAATATGTACAAAAATATCAATGACTAAATGTGTACAAAATGAGTAATATATTAACCTATTAAGTCATTTTTACTTTCTAACGGTCATAAAGACTGAATGTGTACAAGTTTATAAGTTGAAGGGCTAAATGTGGACGGAGAAAAAACTGAGTGATGAAATGTATATAAATCGAAAAATATATTAACCATTTAAATCATTATCTCGAATAATTAGGGTCATTTAGGAAGTTGTTTGAAAGACATTTTTTAATGATGAGGAATAAAATATATAATTGTTTAAATTGGTAAAAAAAATGGGTTAAGAGGCGGTAAAATTATGTAAAAATCTAAAAAATGAACGGTATTTAATTATTTATGCCAATTTCCCATCAAATATATATATAAACTTTGGTGGCAGTTTTCCCGCCATTTTCAGCAGCCGCAAAAGTTATCTTCTCTCTCGGTTCTCATCGAATCCACACAGATTGAAGAAAGGGAGGAAGAAGAACGAAATATCTGAGAAACAAAATGAGTGGAACGTTGAGAAACAAAGTACAGAGGAAATGCAAAATGAGGGGTTATACTCTGAAAGTAGAAGCCCTAACTGAGATCCTTTCTTTCTTAAGCAACTATGAAGACGCTGAAGATGAAGCCCTTGAGCTCCTCCTTGATGAGCTTCAACATCAATCATGTACTTTTCATAACCCCTTCCACTATATGTCTTCGATCTCGAATTTGAAAGTTTTCATGTGTTTTTACTTTTAGGGTTTTCGCAACTTTCTTAACTTTTCAAAAATTACCATGTTTGAGTTTGGATTTCAAATCGGTGCTTTTCAAATTTGCATCTAAAAACTTTTACTTGACATTATACACATCAAAATTCCACTTCTTTTTTTGGATGGATTTATATATTAATTTTTCTTCTTTTAATAAACTGTTCCTGAAACAGTGAAGTCTTCAATTCTTGATAAAGAGCCTATACAGCGTGTTGTAAGTCTGCTGTGTGAAGCTGCATCTGCAACTGATGATACTCTTGGTACAAATACGAGTTCCTCTTTCAGTGTAATTGACGCCTTCCTAATTCCAAAATTCCGTTATGATCCTATCAAAAAGATTTTTTGCGAGTAAGTCTTTTGCTTCGTGTTTGTAGTGCTTCAGTCATTATCATGTCAGAAATCAGAATAAAGACATTCTTTCAGTCATCATTGTTCATTTTAAGATGAAGCTTATACTGAAATCAAATGTTGTCATTTATACATCTTTCATTTCATGTAGACATACAGGGAGACTTCCGATTCATGGTGATGCTCCTTCAAAAGCTTGGTTGTATAGAGATAGATTTCTTTTGTTGTCGCAAAGGCTTTCTCGAATTCCACAGTTTTCAAGTTCTTCATTTGATAGTGAATTATCCGAATTCGGTAGCTGTGAGGTTCTCTCTCTTTCTCTCTTTCTCAACACTTCATTTTTAGCAAATATGAAACTCTTTTGACATTATTTTGGTATTTGTTCTTTGTAGATATCTAAAATTCAATCTCTAGTTGGACGAACTGGAGTATGTTGGGTAATGGGTGTCATATCTCAATTAGAAGATGGCCATTTCTACTTAGAAGACCTTACAGGAGCTGTTGAAATCAATCTTTCTAATGCAATATCCTTAATCACTTGATTTCTTTTCTTAATTGTTATGTTACAGACTTACAGTGGATTGATTGCTTGAAAGAAAATTAAGTTATGATGAGAGTTATTTAAAGATCGACAATCCATAAACTTACACATACATGAAATGGTTTTCCTTAACATTGTTTACAAAATAACAACAGGGTATTTTTCAGAGAACACCATAGTTTTAGCTCAAGGGGAAATGCTTTTAGATGGTACTTTTCAAGTAAGTCTTATTATATTTATACCCTTTCACTAAACCTTGTTAAACTTGTTCACTAACATCAAACTTTAAATCATATGTTTGTGATTAATCCATAGTTTTCATGGACTCATTTTTATTCTTGATTGTTATCCAGGTTCAAACATTTGGTTTTCCACCATTAGAAGATAGAGAGAAGTCAACCTCATTATTCACAGGACTTGATTATTTTGGTGGTGGGACCCTTGCAAAAGAGGACACTGTATCCTTTTTAGGCCTTTAATTGGTTTATTTCACTTCAAGTAACTATAATCTAATAACCATGTAACTCATATTTTGCTTAATATTACACTCAACTTCTAGGATTTTTTTTTTGGAAGTTTCCTTGATTTCTTTTCTCCAGATTAGACTTGCAGAAATGGAATCAAGGGCAGTTAATGAAATGTTTGTCATACTTTCTGACATTTGGTTGGATCATGAGGAGGTATAAGTTTGTATAAATTCTCTTGTCATTGTAAATTTTCACCTTTTTTCTCATTTTATGAATCAAAGTTGTTTTTTTACATGACATGCAATCATGTTTCATTAATCATTGGTCCTAGAATGAAACATGGTTGCATATATTGTTTAAAAACCACTTTGTGTTATAAAATTGGAGAAAAGAGTTTTGTGTATTCATTTCCTAATATCTTTTTTTTAATCTTTTTTATTAGAGAAGACCATGGCAAAGCTACAGATTGTTCTAGATGGTTATGAAGAAGTTGAAGTGGTTCCTTCTCTTTTTGTGTTAATGGGAAATTTTTGTTCACATCCATTTAACCTTTCATACAATTCTTTCTCAAATATCAGGTCAGATTTCTAATATCATTCTATAGTTAACGACCTATAAATTATATTCAATTAAGAAAAAAGGCTAAATGCAAGAGATAGCAACATACTTTCTTTGTTTCTTATATATGTGATCATAGCATCAAGCTTTCATTTTTTTTTCTATTACAACATTGTACTTCTCTCTCTCTCTCTCTCTATATATATATATATATATATATATATATATATATATATATATATATTTATAACTTTAAGGCCTTGTACTTATAGCATTAAAAGTTGCTTTGTATTTTGGTTGAGGGTTAATCTCATAAAAGACCTCATATTTTGTGTTTTTTTTTTCTGGATTAAACCTTAACTTTATCTTTTTCCTGAAAAAGACCTTATAATTTTTTTTTGGGTTAATCTCATAAAAAACCTTATGTTGTGTTTTTTTCCGGATTAAACCTCAAATTTATTATTTGCATGAGAAGATCTTGTATTTTTTTTTCATTTTTTCTGAAAAAAACCCTCAACCTTCTAAATGCTTCCAAATAAAGGGAAATTGTCAGAAAAGTCCCAATATTTTCGGAAAAGTTACGGTTAAGTCCCAAATTTTTTTTTGAGCATAAAAGTCCCGATTATTTCATTTTGGCTCAAATTAACAAAAAGATCTTTTTTTTCTCCTTTAACAGGAAATGACATATTATCATGTAAAATCAAATAATCGGGACTTTTTTGTTAAATTTTTTTGGGACTTAATCGTAACTTTTCCGAAAATAATGGGACCTTTTTGACAATTTCCCCCAAATAAATCCTCAACTTTTTTAGTTTTTCTCAAAAAAACCCCTCACATTTTACAATTTTTTTTTTGGAAAAAAATGACTAAAAGGGCAAGATTAGGAAAAATGAAAAAAATACAAGGACTTTTTCAGGCAAAATAAATTTGAGGTATAATCTGGTAAAAACACAAAATATAAGGTCTTTTATGAGATTAACCCTTTGGTTAATTGCTATAATTGGTAGTAGTTTCAAAGTACATTGTTGTAGTATGAAGAAATGAAAGTAGGATGCTATAATAAACAAATCAACAAAAGTAGATTGCTATTTTTTGCATTAAGAAAAATGAGACAATTTTACCCTTCAGATTGAGTTTTGGTAAGCTTGGGGAACTGATTGCAAAGCATCCGAGGTTGAAAGAGCAGAGTAGATTCCTTTTCATTCCTGGACCTGAAGATGCAGGTAAATTTCATTGATTTTTTTTAAAATTCTTTTTTCTTTTTAAAAAATATTTTAGTTTTTATATTTATTGTTTTAGGTCCTTCAAGTGTTCTACCAAAGTGTGCATTACCCAAATACATAACTGTAGAGCTTCAGAAGCACGTGCCAAATGCCATATTTGCAAGCAATCCATGCAGGTATGGAATCGGGAAAGGAATGGAATCATTCATTCCATTCCATTCCAATCAAAAGAAGTTGTTTCTTTTCATTAACGGAATCATGGCAATTATTAAAGCACTAACATTCTGACTTCTTTTTTAAATCAGAATCAAGTTTTACACACAGGAAATAGTATTCTTCAGACAAGATTTACTTTACAGAATGAGAAGGAATTGTCTGATTCCTTCTTCAACAGAAGAAACAAGTGAACATTTTGAGCATGTGAGTTACTTATTATTACTTATTACATTCTTCTTTTATTGATTATGTATATTTTATTTAAAAAAAATGTTATTTTTTTTTTAAATACAGCTTGTGGCTACAATAACACATCAAAGTCATCTATGCCCTCTTCCTTTAAGTGTTCAACCGATTATTTGGAATTATGATCACTGTCTTCATCTCTATCCAACTCCACATACGGTAAATTTCTTTCTTTTTATCATGGAGTTTTATAAATAACTTATTTATAATATTTACTAATAAAAAATCTTTTTAACATATTTTTACAGATTGTATTGGGTGATAGTAGTGAACAAAAGGCATTCAAGTACACGGGTATTACTTGCTTTAATCCGGGTTCTTTTGCAAATGATAGCACTTTTGTGGTATATCGGCCTTGCAATCAAGAAGTTGAATTATCGGCTTTAGACACTTGAACACAATCATAATTGTGCAATTATTATTTTGTCAAAGTTTGAAGTTTAGAGAAAAGAATCAAGTATTTATTTTGATTTTTACAAAGTTAGATCGAGTAGTTTTTCTTGTTTGCAAGTTGATATGAGAATTTTGTTTGAGTTGACAAATAGGTAACCCAAAGATAGTTGAAATACGTTTTTTTAGGCTTGCTTTTTGTTCAAATATTATTCACTTGTTAAATTTTTATCTTTTTTGTGTTTTATAATGTTTGACATTATTTTAAATAACATGACACAATAATTTGTATTGTGTTTGATGTACATTAGACTATAAAACAAATGTCAATAAGACAAATTTTCATACTCAAAACGTGGAACAAGATGATAAAGACATGTATCTTAATATTTAAAATTAATAATCATTTAATAATATATTAATATTTATATAATTATTTATTAATATACATAAAAAATATATGTTGAAATATATAATAATCAAATAGGGATAATATACTTAATTTAACAAGTATATAGCTTGATGAATATGATATTACAATTTTCTAGAAAATTCCATCCATAAACATATTGATAAACTAACTTATTTTTCGACCTTTTTAAGTTGTCATGTTTAACAAACCAAAAAATAGTTTATAAGCTAGCTTTTTAAAAAACTACATAAACTAGTTTTTTAGATTTTTTTTTTCAAATATACCCTTAGTTAATTATAGAAACACATTTTTTTATGTTTCTTTTATGTTATTTTATATATTTCAGCTAACTTTTCAGTTTGTTTTATCAAACGTTATGTTATTTTTTATTAAACGTTCTTTTTTATTAGCTAGTTTTTCAGCTATATATTAGTTTTTTATTTAACAGTTAGCTTTTCAACTAACAACTAGTTTTTTAACTGGTATGCCAAACATGACCTTAAGAGCTTTTTATTTGAAAAAGTTCCAAAAAATTTCTATTATGATGATGGATGATCTAGGCTCAATAAAATAATATATGCGTTCAAATAAATAGTGAAATGGAACCAACAAATAGTGTTGCATAGCTCACATTAGTGAGTGTTTTGTTTTGATTTAATGAAAAAAAACTTTTATTATTCTTAACTTTCTACAAAACTGTCTCATTTATTTTTTTGTCCTTCTATTTCCCAAGTATATCATCATTTCCTTAATATTCTTTTATAGATAAAACAAAATAATGGCTAAGTGTTACTACCAGGATCCGGATTATTAATCCAAGTCACTTCGAGTTCAACTAAACCACGTTCCACCATTCGCAATCTGAGACACATTTCTTGAAAGATTTTGTTGTTTTCCCACATTATATTGCTTTCTTCAGCCAAGAAATTTGTTCGAATGGGTTGTATTGTAGTTAAACAGTGCCACTCGGGTGATGGTTTTCCTTTGTCATATTTAGTGCCTCCAAAATCGGTTTCACGTCAATTTCCGCATATCCCATTTTGTCATCCAATGTAAACGTATCATGATCATATACTTTCTGCATGCAATCATAGATAGATTCATCAAAATACGACTCTAAGTTGAGATAAATGAAATATGTTTTTTTAAATAAATTAAAGAAAAAAGATATAAAGCCAATTTTGTAAAAAAATAAGGAATTGATTGAGAAAGCCTTCTTTCATTCGTTTTCTCTAATAACTCTCAAATAAATAATCATTTTTATTTAATTTCATTCTAAACAATATGAAATAACTAAAAAATAGGATGTGTTTGAAAAATATGACCAATTGAAGTTTCATGAAATGACAAAGCTTTCCTTAGAGAGAGTCTCGGAGGAGATCTTTTTGGCTTTGCGGAAGCGTATAAGCTCTGAGAAACTAACGTGGCATAGGTAAAATAGTAAAAAACACAAAATAAAATATTAAAAAAAAATCATTGCGGATTGGGAAACCTTTGCTGTGGAAAATGAGTTCGTTGGCTGCAGAAGAAAGACAGACGATCAATCACAATCGAAAACAGCCGACAGTGAGGTCGTAGGTTTTTTAATTTAAATGATTAAATTGAATCAATGTTTTAACATATGACTATCGAACGAGTAATTTGAAGTGTTTTATGGCAAAATTCATCAAAAAACAAAGATTTTCAGCGAAGATCAATTTCTCATAGGTAGAACAGATCCGTAGAGGGTTGCTATGTGGATCCGCAGTGCCTTTGCGGAAATGTGGTATTTTTGAAAAAAAAATCCAGAAAATGGTTTTTCAATATCTAGATCAATTAATGTTTTTTTTTTCAATTCCGCAGAGAGAGACACATTTCCGCAGAAGACGTACAAATATGTAGAGATTGTCTCTGTTGAACAATCACTTCAGAAGTCAGTTTTTATCTTTTTGCAAACGTGTCTAATTCCTCAAAAAAGTTTGGGTTCTGTAGAGTCAAAAAGATTTTCTAAGAGACTCTTTCTAAAATAAGCTTGGTCATTTTGTGAAACTTTAATTTCCATAGTCATATTTTTTCAAACACATCTTATTTTTTGGTTATTTCATGAATTTTCCCAAATATAAAATGGTTATTTAATTTCATGTATTCAACTCTAAAAATAAAATAAAGTTTATTCATACAAAACTTATTTCCATACAACACTTACCACCCTAACCGGAAGCTCAGGATCATAAATGGGAAAATCGAATTCTTCATCCCACTCGGGGTTGCAATCCTTTTTCACAAACCGAGTCTTCACTCTCTACATTGAATAAAACAACACTTATTTAATCAAAATGAAACCAAAACAATATTAACAATTCTAAATAACTTTTTATTTATAAAGGGGGTATTTTTAGTTTTAATAATTAAGGAATGATTCTTTTCTTCATTTGATGGAATCTTAGCAATTCCGACGGAATCTTTTTTCCGACCTTTTGTAACATCGATCTTGGTTCTAGAATTTGTGATTGTTGGTGGGTTTTTGAAGAATTCTATTAACTATTTGGATTGATATTAAAACAATTCCAACAAATATTTGCTTAATAATATTCAAATTGTTTATAGAATTACGTAGATATGATGGATCAAACGAAAAACCATGACGAATATGATTGAATAAAATGAGAAGAGAAAGAGAAGGGTGGTGACCAGTTTATCCGTTTTGATCACAACGTAAGGATCGCTTGCTTTTGAATCACGTACAGCCAGATTCAACCCTCTTTTGATCCTAATTTTAAGAACACCAATCGGATTATCCATTAGAAACAATCCCTCATGCCTGTTTTGATCTCTCTATGTATCAGCTAAAACTGTTTATATGTATAATGGATCCAAAACTCGAAAAGAAGGAAGAACATTGGTGCGAATGTGATTAGAATGAAATGTGTGGGTTTATATCCTCTAGGAAATCGGGGGAACCATTCGGATGAATGATTTACGTATTATGACATCGCTTCAGATTTGCTTAAAGATCGCATTTGCCAAAAACAAACAAAATGAATGTGCTTGTTTTAATGGATCAATCGTCAACATATTTCGTTATACAATGATGGTTTGCCATCATATAGCTCGCTGGGGATTAATGCAAAATATATTATTTGTTTTGAGGAATTAGATTTTGTATGAATTATGATCCATAACAAAAGAAATTTTAATTTTGTTTTTTTCGAAATGAAATTTCTAGCGAAGTCCTAAAACTTTGACATTATTTGTTAAAAAAACATAACTTTATTTATTTATCTTTTAACAGCTTAAAGGCAAAAACCCAACAAATGTTTACATAAAATGACAAGAAACCATGAATCATTTACAAATTCAAATTCAGGATTTTAGACCGTAATTTTAGATTTTAGTCGGTAATCTTTTATAAAATTCCCTATATTTTGAGTTCATTCATGATAATTCATCTATTTTTTACGAAAAAATTAGAGATTATTAACTTACGATAATTTGTACTCTATGTGTGACGACAGATGATATTATATTATTGTAATCTTACTATATTGTCTCTGTTTAACAGATGATATTCAATTAGTATATCTATCTGATAGAAGATACTATCTTACTATAATCTTATTATATGCTTTTTGTCTATGAGATGATGTTGTGTTACTTTAATCTTAATGTTTTTTTACCAATTATCTGACAAAGTGTATTATTGTAGAGAATAACAGTGTTTGTATTAATCAATGTTCTAAAAAACTCGCCATAGCTCCAAGGCTTGTGCCTGCCGCCAAGCTTTACCAAATCGCCGCCTTAACTTATATATGCGTATAAAATAGAAGAATAGTTGAAAATACATATAAAAATATTAATTATATACAAAATTGCCGCATTAAGTCACGCCTTACAAACTACGTGGCTCGTCAATGCTCGGAAAAGCTTGAGGCTTGACATTGCCGCCAAGTCACGCCTTACGTTATCTAGAACCTTGATATAAATACAAAATTAACATTGAGAAATCTAACTTAAGTTGTTTAGTGCAGAGTATTTCAAAGTAAACTTGTTTACTAGTGTTTTTTTGGTGTTAGATCTTGTAGATCTGTACATCATGTTGTATTTTCCTCGGATCGTTTAGATATGGGATGGTTCTTGATATCAAATCCTATAGATATGGTGTAGGTCTTGATCTTTTTCCTCAGATCGTTTAGATTTGTGATCGTTTCTTGATATCAGATCCTATAGATTTGGTGTTACGTCTTGATATCTCATACTAATGTTTATCTACAAGAATGGTGTTAGGTATCCCGTTTTTCGCTAATGACGTCTTTTCTTTGAAGATTAAACGACTATTTAATAGTAAAACTTAAGGTTATTGTGTGCATTATATCTTAACGGTCAACATTAAATCAGGCGGTCAACGTTAAAATAACTGCAATCGTTTGTTTGTGTACGGTTGACATTTTGACTGTCATTTGGATGTCGTGTTTATGGGATCAATTTTGGATCAATTTGTTTTATCTCCATTTAACGGTAAACTACTGTGCTACTTTGTAGAGCTTTTATTTGGACGTCTGTAAGTTTCACATTCTCTTTCATTTAGGTTAACCCGAGTTGTTTTTCCTCTTAAATACTCTGTAAGAATTTTCTTTCTGATTTGCTTAGTCTTAGGGTTGGATAACATGGTTATGAACACAATTTGTTTGTTTGTTTGTTTGTTTATGTCATTGTTATGCTATGTTATTTAGATGCAACATTCTGTTTCGAGAAGTTTCTTATTTTCAGGATTGTGGACAATGAATGGATTAAGTAAAGGTCTTGGGCTTCAAGGAAATGTGGTTTAGACCTTATTTGATGATGACAATCTTTGATAAGTGATTAACGCCTTGGTTTGTGTCTTGGAGCCAAAGGTTAAAATGGGAAAGTGATGTTTTAGACTTCTTTCATAAATTATGGTTTTTAGTTCGACATGTGTTAAGCCAAAATTAACTAAATAGAAGTATGGGGCTCTTCGATACCTTTCCGTGGATATAAAGATCGCCGGATACGGAGTTGAAACGAAGAAGTTATGACTGTTTGAAGTTGGAGTGAAATTGGGCGAAAACCCGTTCTCATGAGGTGAGAAATAAATCTCACGATGTGAGAAGTGCTCACGAGGTGAGAATGTATTCTCACGACATGAGAACTGTGCAACCCAAAAGCCCACAAAATTTTTAGGGTTTTCAAGGTATTTAAAAGTAAGAATTCATGTTTTAGGGTATTTTCTTAGCCTCCATCATATCTAGAACCTGTTGGGAGAAACCCTAGCCTCCATTTTCAAGATTTGAGCCTCCCCTCTCCTCTCTCATATATTTTTTTGGAGTTTTGGTTGTTTTGGAGCAATGTTTCATACAAGATTGATCCTTGAAGCTTGGCAATTAAAGATCTCAACTTTCATCTACCTTCTAGACTTTTGTAAGTTATAAAGTTCCAAGCGTTATTGCATTTCATTTTTGGATCTAAGTGTATTTGGTGTTTTGTTCAATTTTAATGACTTTTGAGTATGATTTGGGAATAAAGTTTGCAACTTTATTACTCTCCAAGGTCCCAAGAACATTGTATGTTTCGGATCTGGACTGCAACACCTTTTTAATAGTTTAGAATGTTTTCCTGGACCTCATGGACTAGGAAAATTTTGATCTTTTGCCTTCCTTTTCAGCCATGCAAGTTATTTTGGTAATTTATACCATTTTGGTGTATTAAAGTTTAGATCTTGAAAGCTTGAGACATTATTATGGATAAAGTTGGAAACTCTATCCATCTAAAAATCATATTGATTTAGATCTGAAGGTTGAAGACTTGGACTTAATGGATTTAGCTGAGAAAGATGCATTTTTGGTCCTTTGAGACTTAAAGACTAGATCTTGGTTGTTTGGACCATCCTAATGGATAAAGTTGGAAACTTTATCCATTATGAAGCTATTTAGGATCTAGATCTAAGGTTATGGGCCTTGGTCTGAAGAGATTAAGCACTTAATGAAGATTTTAGCCTTTTGACCAAAAGTCACGACGTGACATAGGATGTGTCACGACGTGACGGTGTCTAGAATCGCAACTGTTTGTCGTTGCATTCTCATGATGTGACCAAGGAATGGTCACGACGTGACGTTGACTTTGACTAAGTTGACAGTTGATCTTGTGGACATTGACCGTTGACTTTTTGACTAGTTTGACTTTTGGTTAAACTTGGGTAAAATGGAGTATTTGACTAAGGATTGGTCTTGGTTTGGTTTTAGGAAGTTTAGGTTGGCTGTTTTAATGATGAGGTAGTTGTTGGGCTTCTGTTGAGTAGTTCATGTGAGTCTCTTCACTGTACTCGTGGGTCAAAGGCACCAATGTCAGCCCACTGAATTATGTTTGTAGGATGATGGTTGTATTTGTGATACTTGTATGGAAGACCATGGGGGTAGCCCATGGAAATTGTATGAAAGACGATGGGGGTAACCCATGACACTTGTATGTAAGACCAGGATTTGGCCCTCGACATTGCAAGGAAAGGTCATGGGGGTAGCCCATGACACTTATATGTAAGACCAGAATTAAGCCCTCGACATTACAAGGAAAGATCATGGGGGTAGCCCATGCCACTTGTATGTTTTGGTATGTGGTACTTTGGGGAACTCACTAAGATTTGTGCTTAGAGTTTATGTTTATGGTTTCAGGTACTTCCATTTTCAAAAGGAAGGGCCCGACTTGCTCGCATTGCATCCCTTGAAGTTTATTTTGCACTGAATGTTTACAAATTACTCTGATGTGTTGAGAATACTTTGACTATGAAAGTCTTTTGGAACAATGAATGAATAGCTTTAACTTATTTAAAATGAAATTTGTACTCGGTATTTTTGGGATGCTACATTTGACCTGACAATTCAAGACACGAATATACGAATCTGTGAGTGACACGACACGACATCAATACACGACACGAATACATCTTGAAAATTAAGATAAAGCTTATTTTTCTTCGTGTATTCGTATCGTGCCAAATTTGTGGCTGACACATTTTCATGACACGAATACACGAATTTCCATGTTTAATGTAATAATTAGTATTATATCCTATGTTTTCTATTTGTACTACCTCGATATAACCCGATAAATGGTTCAAATTCTGGGATACTAGATTGTTTTTTGGAGCACAGTTCTTGCATCACATAATTTGTTATTTTTTTTTGTTTATGAAAATGATTGGAGATACTCCTTTTGGATCTGTAAAACAATTATGAGCATTATGACTTTGTTGATCATTTGTATTTGCATCCTTCTGACGGTGTTAACTCTTTAATTTCATAAGATGAAATTAAAATTCATAATGTAATAGGGTAAATGCTATTGTTTGTTTCTGGATTCTTGTTTCTATTTGACTATGTATATGCTAGTCATGCATGTTCAGAGGGCTTACTGAGATATACCATAAGGCTAATGGCTTTGTTGTATGCAACTTACATCTCAAAAATAATTCTCTTACCCAAAAGCAGGTTATATGTTTATGAATATTACAGTAAGCTTGATGCTTTGTTGAGATAATTTGATGGTTTACCAAATTTAATTAGATGTGTTTATGCGGCCTCTACTCAATTTAATAATCATAGCAAGTTAATGAAACTTATGAAGTTCCTTACATGCTTATATGACAGTTTTGGTCAGGTTAAGAGTCACATTCTACTGATGGAACCACCTACAAATGTCAAAGTGGCTTTTTCCATTGTTTCTCGGGAAGAGTCACACCAAAAGGGTAGCTCTCTCTAATTCAACTACTAAAACCCAAGCATCAAATTTATTGGGAAATTTGTTGATTCTAAGAAAAATAAACCTCGTAGAAATCAAAATGTACAATGTAAAAATTATGGTCCTAAAGGTCATATAATTGAAAGGTGTTTTAAGCTCATAGTGTTTCCAAAAGATTTTAAGTTCAA